AAAATAAGGGTGCGTCTTATATTCCGAAAAATACGGTACGTGTATATCATCTCCGAATTCCCAAATAAAACCCACTCCTTGCACCTAACAAACCGTGAGCGCTTAACACTTATGCTACCTTTAGCCATTTTAGTCTCTCTGGTTTCAAATAATAAACACTAAATACAAGTAAAATTGTTATGGTGTGTACGCCTTTTATAAACTGTCGAAGAACTGTTACAATTATATTTGTTATATGTCATTGGTAGTAGTGCTTAAAAATGTAATAGGCCTAATACTAAGGTCTTATGACAAGTATAACTAAATACAAGTACTGAAGTAGCCAACACTATTAAGCCTAATGTTAGAGTTAAATGAATTACGTTGTTTTATTTCTACTCTATCTTATTACTAAAGTAATTACGTTTATCTTTAAAATGAAAAGTCACAAGTAACTAGTCTTTAGATTATACTTATGTGAAAATACAATTTCAATTGCTATAATGTGTACACATTTTACAAGCCGGCGAATAATGATTATACATGTAGATCAGTGGTCATAAGACAGTATTACTACTATTAGGCCTATTACATTTTTAAACACTACATTCTCTATCTAGTCCTTAGTATAGAATTTATTCAATAACTGAATAAGCTTAAATTATAGCTACAGCCGCGTTACACTCGTTAAGTCAAACTGTAGACTAAATTGTATTAAACTTTAGAGAAATATAACACCAAACCCTCTACTAACCAATGCTTATACCATTAATTATCAACGTTATTACCACAGGCACGATGTACAACAGCGATTCTCAACCGGAGTTCCTCGACAGATATCCAGTTAAAATTTGAAGAAATGAAAAGAAATATTTTTATTTTGCTAGGTTAGGTCAGTTTATATGAGGTTAGATCAAGTTAGACTAATTAGTAAATAATTACATGTTTATTTAAATAAAAAATAAAATTTAAAAAATTCTTAAAAAATGATCATATTTCCCATTCTTATTTCTGAAATCAGCATTAAAAACTACATTCAAAAATATATATTACTTTCTATTTGAACGCGGTGCATGGAACAGAAAATATCCTATTTAACAATTAGTTTCTCATACATATTACAATTTTGCCCCCCAGTGGCACAGAGGTATGTCTGCGGACTTACAACGCTAGAAACCGGGTTTCGATACCGTGGTGGGCAGAGCACAGATAGCCCTTGTGTAGCTTTGTGCATAATTAAAAACAATTAAAATTTTACTGTATTAAATATTGAAATATGTATACATATATATATATACACACACACACATTTATATGTATAACTGCACAGATTAAATATCAAAAAATAACTTTCAGTGTGCAAATATTATTTGTTTGTTTCCTTTTACGTTTTTTATTAATGTGGGCATTGTGTAGCTTAATATTAGAAATTGCTTAAGATTCTTTGATTTTTTAAATCAATGGCCTGTATGCTCGTTATCATTTATGTTTCACTCCATTTAAACGTTTGAACTTGGAATTAAAGAAAACTTACAGTTACCACAGCAATATAACATAAAATTCGCAAGTATACGCAGTCAGTAGTTGACTAAATTGTGCGAATTCAATGGATTACACCCGTTTACCACTTCGTTAAGAAAAAACGTTTTACTTGTACTTCAAGGAATGAAGCACGTACATTTACTTTAAAATGTGCGTTTATCCTGTAAGTACAGGTGCACCAAACATTGTCGTATTAACATTATACAATGAACATTATCAATGAATATGAGGATCTTTATTCAAACAGATAACCTCGATATTTCAGTAAACTGGCATTGCTTCAAATCAGAACAAGATTTCCATGGCATAAAGTTTTGACTATCACTTTGTTGATTTGATCTTTCAAAACTAGTAACAAAGCATAATTTTGTATAACGTCTATATAAATTGATAATTATAATTTTGCTACACACTAAACTAATAAATGAAATATATAGCTTCTTTCTTAAAAAAATAGTTTTGTAAGAAATTCCCTTACTGTACTACTTAGAAACAGTATTTTTGGGATATTGAAATATTTTTTTAAGGGAAATGGGAGACCTTTTCATTAGAAACGTGAAATATGGTTCTACCCTTGACAATAAAAATAAATCATGGGTTCTATTGGTTGAGCCTTTCTTACATTTTTCGTTTGTGGGGATGGGGAGGAGGTATAATCCTACGAGGTCGCATCGATTCCTCACTTCATGCGCAGATTATTTCCCGTATTGTTTTCTTATACCTTCAAATGCAGATCTATGGGATACTGATCATGTTCTAATATGGGACGTTTTATATAAAATGAAGTTTTATCATTAGCTGAAAGCTCTCTGACCTTATATGTACTGCTGCTTTACAATAATACACCTAACGCAATGATTTTCTGACTTTCTAATTAATTATTAAACATAGTAGCCAGAGAATCTTTCCAGAGAATCGTGGCAACCTTCCCTTCTAAGTTTCTTTGGGGGGGGGGGCTATTTACATTTGCTTTATTGTGAAATCCTATTAGCTTAAAGTATAGCAGTGACTTGACAAGCCGATTTTACCACGTGTCCAAAAACTAGTTGTTAAATAAATATTATAATGATGTGTTTAGACGTTTCTAAAAGATAAAACGCTTCTTAACTGATAAAAGAACATTGAAATTGCACCTCATTTTTCTTGTTTAAAATTGAGGTCATGTAGCTGATAAAATGTCATTGGATACTGCAACTCACTAACGCTTGTAAAACTATGTTATTGCTCGGTTTACTTTTTGAGTTCCAAAGATAATTTTTTTAAAATATTGCGAGCAATATTTCATGGCACGTTAATGCTTGAAAAGTGTGGCTTTAGAGTTTCAAACTCTTTGTTTAGTTGTTAAAATCTGAATGTAAATAGTGGATATTTTTGAAGAATCAGTATTTATTGAGAAAGAAGCATCCATAGATATATCGAAAAACGCAGAAATTATGTGGAATATAACACTAAACAATCTCTCTGAAACATCACATGTTCGTTTCTGTTGTTCGGATCAAATCATGATCCAAACAACAACAGGAAGTTCTATTTCTCAAGGCCCAGTTGATTATCCCCTCACTTTCTCAGTTCAAAACACATCTCGAGAAATAATGCCAAGTTCTGAAGTCCAAGAACCTGTTGGTTATCCTCCAGTTCCTTCAAAACAAGATGAGCTCCAACAATCACTATTAATAGGAAAACATGAAACTAGTATTGCGTTCGACGACAAACCGACCATTCCGGAATCTCTATACAAATATCGTATTTGTCATGGTCAGCAAGTTTCTTCTTTAGGTAAAATATAGTTTAAAAACGATCATGAAACTTCATATCAGGAAATAAACTAAATAGTGTTAATTACTATAATATACTACCTAATATTTTTGATAATGGTATTTAAAAGAAATTTTAAAAATTAATAATTCATTGTTTTCTTTTCTTTTTATATTATGTTTAGGTCAAATATTAATTTTAAAAAATTTTTTTTGGTTGCTTGAAATTTATAGATTCCTCGTTCAGAACCATATATTAGTCACTACTTATCGTGCCTTTTGATGCTTGACCTAGCTTACCTCTGCTTTCATCAGTAAAAAGTCCTTCAAGACCATCATGAAGAGAAGGGTGCGTGGTAAAACAATGAACTGTTAATTCACCAAAATCTGCCCGGGAATGGGTTCCTCATTGCAATTTTGGTATTCTCGTAAGAAGTGTTAAAATATTACGTAGTTTTTTTTCTAGCCCCCCAGTGGCACAATGGTATGTCTGCAGACTTATAATGCTAAAAACCGGGTTTCGATACCCATGGTGGGCAGAGCACAGTGTAGCTTTGTGCTTAATAACAAACAACAACATAGTTTTTCTAAAATTAATTTTTTAAGAAAAATACAATATTTATTAATACAATTTTATCAGAGGAAACAACACCCAATATGAGCTTCCAATATATTGAATAAGATTCGGCAAAAATAAAGTAGTCATTAAAAATTGATAAAAAAAAAGTATCTATCACATTCTCAACCATTAATCCAACGTTTGAGATAAACTTTCCAAATTACTTGAACCAGTTAGTTATCGAACCCTGTCAGGTTTTAATTGACTAAAACATATATTAAATATATTGAACATTTTCAAATTTAACCTTTCAAGAGTTAATACAAATATAAACATTTATCACACATCGAAAATAATCTTGTTTTATTATATGCATGGGTTATATTAGTATGACATAATATGCCGAAAACATCTCTTGACGTAAGTATATTTAATCAGAAACTCAAACAGTACTGTACTACTTAGGTCTCTGGTTTAAGCGATAGGCAAAGATATATTCTATAAAATGTTATTAATAACGTTTCGTGTAATACATTATTTTTTTTAACGATAGGCGATACATTAAGAACAGATATTCCACGATTAAATCTCAGGTCAAAGATATATACATTATATCTATATTTTAACCAGTTACCTTAAGTTATTGTAATTCAAGAACAAACTAAATACGCGAGTAAGACTGTCTGTTGCTAGCATGCAAAATTATTTAATCGCTTCTGACACGCTAAATTCTGACTGAACACTTTCAAATACTTTTTGCAATTTTTTTATTGGTTTGATCTTGCACTCTGAACTTATGTAAACAAGAAGGAATCCTCAATAGCCGCGAGACTTGAAATTCATTTAGGCAGGATTAGAGCAAATTAATCTATGTTACCTTTTTTTCTTTTTTTATCAGCTATATTTTTGTGGGCCAGCAATACCAGGCATGGAGCGCGCGTATACCCGATTCGATTATATTATTAATCAAGATCTCTACCAGCTTACTCTCAATTCAAAATTCTTTTAGGCAGGATTAGAGTAAAGTAATCAATGAGATCTTGGCGTGGTTAAATACATCAATTTAAAGGGTTTGGCCTCCCGAGTCGAAAACTGTAATTAGATCTCAAATCGGTGAAGAGATGATGGAGCTATGAGCTAAAAGTTTGTATTTGAAAAAAACAAAAAATCAAGAAACTCAGAGCCATTCTATAAGCCGTTATGCCGCGGCTAAAAATCTAAAATGTTAACATAGAATATTAATATGGTAAGAATAGCAATTTGATTCATAAGAAAATCCCATTAACAAGTTTACAGTTTTTCGTATAACAGTATAGCTTATATATTTTCATATCAGTCCCATGTAGAATAAGAGTCGTTTATAAATACAATAGATGCATTTTTCTCTCTTACTCAAATTGTTAATTATGTTTCATACGTTTCTTCAAAGGTGAGTTTAGAAGTACATCCTGAAAAAATTTGTTTTAAAATTATAACTAATTTAAAGATATTATTGGCACTACATGTGAAAGTTCAAACTTAAACCTTTCTTGTTGATATCATACTCTCTCCCCAGTGGCTCAGTGGTAAGTCTGAAGGCTTATAACGCAAAAAATCTGGGTTTCAATACCAGTGGTAGGCACAGATAGCCCGTTTTTGTGTAGCTTTGCGCTTAACAACAAGCAAACAACCAAAAGTCTGAGTACGTTTACAGCCAGCGCGTGTGATATAAGTGAGTGTTATTTTCCATCTAATATGAGGTAACATTTAACAATTACTTCTTGTACAAAAATAATTGTGTAACGTTGATCCGTGATATGCAGGCATACCATAGTTTTCTTACTTTTCAGTTCAACGTATACGTTTGTAAAATTTTCTTTATTCTGAATCTGGGCAGTTTTCTCGAAATAGGTGTTCCAGCTAACTTTCGTCTTGTTGTTCTCCGGAGATAATACCTACTCCGCCCGCGAGATGTTATGCTGTCAGTGTTGAAACATAGTGATTTTGTTGCTAGATTTAGCGATATTTGAGTTCCTTTTGTGACAAAAGTTTTTCAAAGCAACTAGCGAAAAATCTAGCGACTTTCACTGCCAACAACAGTGATATTGAGTACCCCAGTAGTAGTAATATAACCCGAGCTCTTCTTTGTACATTCTGTTGCACGCCATTAACGTTACTACATCTACGCAACCTTAACGAGACAAGACGTGAGATGGTGAGCGGCACCTGATCACTTTGTTCGTTTGTTTTGTTTGTTTGTTCGAATTTATGCACAAAGTTACGCAATGGGCTATCTGTTGAGGGTTCGAATCCCCGTCCCCCCAAACATGTAGTCCTTTCAGGATTGTTAATCCCACTATTCGTTGGTAAAAAAGAAGCTCAAGAGTTGGTGGTGGGTGATGCCTTTTTGGCTGCTAAATTAGGGACGGCTAGGGCAAATAGCCATCATGTAATTTTGCGCAAAATTCGAAATAAAATCGGGGTTCATCATAAATTAATTTTCCAAAAGCAATACGTTCCTCACGTATTTAAAACACACAAATATAATAGGAGCTGTGAAAAATGTTAGCGTTCAAGGATTTCTATATTTCACGAATATTTACGATCTTTAAAACACCTGTGTCGCGAATAACAAAAACTGTATAAATTACAAACACTTCCTAGAATTTTTGTTAATACTTTACAATAATTTTAGTCAACGCTGTTTTGTTGCATTTTTTATATATTTTTTGTTTCGAGATACAAAAGTCAAATATATTGAAAATCATGTTACCTAACAGTTTTTAATTTTGTTTATTTTCTATTTGTTCGTATTACAATTATTTTTACTTTGTTTTATGTTGAATCCCTTCTGTTAGCGTTTAACAGTTGACTTTGTCGGTGCGAGCTTGTGGATCATGGAGGTTTGT